AAACGTTTATATGATAATGAAGGAGCAAGAGCTTATGAATGTATAAATGAACCAGAAAGAAATTAGCAATAACAGATCAAGCTGAATCTTTATTACAAAAAAGATTTTAACAGATTGAAAACTTATTATTTTCGGTTTTCTTTGTATTATTTTACTATTACGAACAATGGAAGACAACCAACTTAAAAAGTTTTTCATGGATTTAGATTTGAAGTTCAGATAAGATAATAATCGCGATAAAAATGAAGCCGGTTTATATGAAAAAATTAAACTTTTTTCGATCTGTACTTATGGTGAAAATGCAACACCAGAACAGTGCTTGAATATGCTGAAAAATGTGCACGACTCTTCCAAATCTGGCCATTAGTTTAAGAATATTATTAACAATTCCAATTTACAGCATCGGCATAACGAAATTTTTCTAAATTAAAACTAAGTAAAAATTATTTACGAACAACAATGTCACAGGAACGATTAACAAATCTGAAACTTTTATCTATTGAGCACGAAATATGTGAAAAATTAAATTGCTATGAACCAATAATATAAAAAGGCCGTAAAATTAATATTTTATAAAATAGTGCGAAAGTTTCATTAAAAAATTAAGATAAAAATAAATAAAAACAAACATACATCGCACAGACTTAATAAAATACATATATATATTTGTAGACTATCTGTTTTTAATTTGTGCAATTCTGTTTAAATAAATTCTTGAAAAGTTAAAATTACTTATTTTACTTATTATTATTTTTTTTACTAATACTTAAGTTATTTTTAGAAAGGGCCTCGAAATTTCAAAAATACCCTAGGCGCGGCAAAAGTTAGGGGCGGCATTGTGAATGAAGCACTTACCGCATTCTTCAGAAGCTATTAGAAGGTTCTGCAAGACAATTGAAACCGAACGTCGTTCATCAGAACAACTCATCAGGAATTACAGTACCACAAAACATAACAGTTGCTAGGCGACTAATAGGAAGTTCAATTATGAAATGTTTAGTGAATATTTATGTATATTTCGGTATGAAATGGATTTTCAATTAGTTTATTATTAATGGATATTAATAAATTTAAATATCTGTACTTGAAATAAAGAACACTGTATGAAATGAACGATTTCCTCATAATTAATTAAAATTCATTTATACCAAATGAAATTTATTAGCCCTTTTAATATAAAAATATACTATAAAACGAAAATATAGTCTTACATAAAAGCAATAAAACCAGAAACATAATCTTAATGCGTTTGGAAATATTAAAACACCTGCAATTTTCTTTTTAATGTTATTTTTACTGAATCTGCTACTAGATTCATATAGGCTATTAGATAAAAATTATTTAAAAGAACAAATTTTCATTTTAAGATTAAGCGATATACAACTTAAGAACATAAGGGAAATAAGGCACAAATTCACAACAGAGACGTTGGCAGTTCACCACTAAAACTTTTCATTTCTGGTTACTCTGATTAGACTGTTTGATCCTAGAGAAATAACAGAAAGAGTGGTAAATTCGATTGTTTACTCTAACAAAAAAGACAATTGTTGGAAATGAATTTTCAAAGAAATGAAATCTGTTATTAATCTTCATCACTTAGTGTTAAAGCATCCCATATTACATAAAACATTGCGAGCAGCATAAATTTTGTCTGATATGAAAAAAATATGAGTAAGAAAATATTAATTTTTTTTATATCGGAAACAGGAAAACAAGTAAAACAATAGCGAAAATTTAGATTCAGTATATAGTTTATGTATGCAGCGCTAATAAAATTATTTATGACGATAATTTCTTATCACGTTGTAGTATAAAATGAGGAATATATTTTCGATATAACTGCGAGACAGATATAGTCATTTGTTTAACAATTGCAACCTCGCCGTTGTCATCGCGGGTTTTTCTTCGGGTTCAGAAGACCCTTCTTGAATTTCATCTGGAGCACAGATACTCTGACAGGTTCTTTCGGCGCATTAATTGTTCCCTGATATCTGGAAATCAATTAACTTAATAATTTGACTTTATTATCGTCGAATAAATCAGTGCTCTAAAGTAATTCTTCGATATTATTACCAATTTTTTTCATGTTTTTGATATGCTACAAGCAGTTCGAAAAAGACCAGAGCCATTTGTTCCTTCATTAGATTAATTTTCCTATTACTTTGACAGTTAATTGTTTTGCCTTGGCAAAACAATTATCTGGTTGGACAATGACGGTGCCAGTAGGACGGTGCCAGTAGGAGAAAAAATCCACCAAATTGATTAACCAAAATTTTTTTTAGTATTTAAAAAAACGTCTTTTTCACTTAAATTCCTGTTTATTTTTTATATTTTCGTAATTTATGAATAATCGCGAGGATATTTCCTCTTTGTAAATTATTGAAAATTTCGCACATATCTTTAACTTGATAGGATGTAGCTTCTTTCAATATTGCTCTTCGTTCAGGAGTAGTATAGGCTAAAATCGCCAGCATTTCATACTTTTTTTACATTCTTCATTTTATTTAATGTATATCCAATGACTCGAAATAACACGAAAAAATGAGACTACGAAGAGGACACTATATTATTCGTTCTGAGATAGATACACAGTTAATTAATTAACGGTGAACAACGCTGTCAACTGCGGGCGAAGAACGGTTCAATTGCCCTTTTTCCCCACTTTTCCTCCCGAACTCCCACATCCTCCAATAAATCTCTCGCCCGCGGGTACACAGCCTGATCGAGTTGTATCCACCATGTACATTCCCTAATTCCCCCTTTCGCTGTCAGTGGGCCTTCTCGTTGTCGCATCCCTCACAAATAATTATAACCTCACTTTAAGATTAGAATATCTTGATTAACTTTTCGTATTCAAGATAGATACCAAAATTATAGAAATTGATAGCACCCTATGAATAATGTTGTAGTAATAATAGTTATAGACTCAAAAGGGAAGCGCATCTCCACGACCAAAATAACAGACACGAGATCAGTATCGCGATAAGAACTAAACAAGTTACTGTGAAAGTGAAAGTAACTCTTTATCGTATGTGAAGTTGCGAAATGAAGACAATATCAAATAAATTTGTCAACAAGTGCATTAGGAAATTGATTTATTTTAACATTATTTAACTTCTTTAGTTGAAGGTAATGAATGTGAATTGGTGTCTAGTAGAGCATTTTATAACTAATACTAGTGAAATAGGTGTGGAAAATACCAATGTGCCTTGTTTATCGATTCTTATAAAAATTGGACAGAAATCCTTTATAACTTCTTTATAACAAAGCTCTCTAACCTTCTGGTCATTTCCGACGTATAACGAATATTCACAGCTCTGATGTGGCCTTTTATGTATCGAAATATCTGGTGAACAAACAGAAAACTGTGACATTTGGCAATCTTTATCTCCTTTGTCAATTTTTTTTTTATTTCAATTGTTTATGGTTACTAATCCCTTTGAATTATAATAATCTTTTTTATAATTCAAGAAAATGAAGTAAGTATTTCATATTCATTTCTAAATAATATCCATCTAAATTAATAATCCTTTTGTCTATCATACGTCGACTGTTCACGTTGTATAATCATGGCATTTAATCTTTAATTTGTTCTTTACTGGAACATCACACTTTTATTTTCTTTTATTCTTTTTTACTTTTGTAAGGAATATTTAATTTTTAAACATTGTAGTAAACACATATTTGATCATATTATTAAATACAGTAGTAAATTACTAAAAACTTTATTTATATTTTAAAATATTATAATTTTTTTCTGAATAAAATTCTATTTTTCTTATTTATTTATTTACAAATTCAGACAGCATAAGAGATAATAAACTATAGAGAATACTAAATAAAAATTAATTGTAAACGGAAAATGTTTTTTCAATCTATAAGGAAAATGAGAGTTCAGAGTATTTACTTTAAAAAATCGGAAATTTATATATAATAATCATAACTTAATGTTTTAAAGGTAATTTAAATAATTAAATGTATTATATTGATAATACAATATATACAAATTACTAATTTCGTTATATTACAAAAACTTTGAATTAATTCAATATTTATATATTTTTATTTATATAATAATAAAAATATATGTTACGTGTTATTTCGTGTTTGCGTGCATTATTTCCTTCTTGGCAAAACAAGAATTACAAGAAATACTGTCAACCTTGAAGATAAACAATTAAAAGAATACGACGTAGAATTCTGTTTGAAAAAATATACATATTTATAAATATTAAAATAATGTTTACCGTATTTAATTATATAATTAAATATGTGTTCAAAAAATTAAATATTGGTAACAAAACTAACGAAGATGAAAACATTTTCGAACTCATCAGCTGGATTTCAGAATTAATTCATTCTCAATTTCTGGAATATTTGATACATTTTAATATTTATTAGAAGTAAAGTTGAAAATACATTAAAACTAGTTTAAGAAAAACTGCTGACAAGTGAAAAGACGACAGATTTAAATTTTTTTCTATAATAACTCTTGTAAACAAGTAAACAATTAAACAAGTTTTGTCATACGTTTGCTGCTTGTGTGTTTTTCTAGAGTAGTAAGAAAGAAAGATTTATAACATTTTAATGCGTATTTTATAAAAAGTTTGTTGAATTTACTTTATTATTATAGAAAGCAGGATATAAAGATTTTATTTTAATTGGAATGTTTGAAATTTAAACAGATAGTATTGTGAAAAAGTATCATTGGCACTCATCCAATTTTACATATACTCATCACAGATGCTGATTGGTAACAAATGAATAAATATCGAATATTAAACACAATTTTACGCATTTTCTTTTCACATTGGTTTGGTAAGTATCGGGCAAATTATTATTTACTATCTAGTAAACCAAGTTAGATTTTGAGTATTATATAATAGAAATTCTCAGTTTATTTTCTTCAAATTTTCATTAATATTTTACCTTCAGTTTATAATTTTTAAATTGTAATTCACTTACCTAATGAATAAAATTTTTCCGTGTTTTGGACAGAACTCGTCGTGTGAAAATCCAGTCTTCACGAACTATTTTTCATTGAGTAATAATAAGTAAGACTTTTGTGCAGCACTTTATTTGGTAAGTATTATATAAATCAATTTTAACGAGTAATTTTATTTGTTAGTAACTAAATTTACTTTAATAATTACGATTTCATGATTTGATATTTGTTAATATTATAAATACAAAGAAGAAAATTTCCAGCATTTACCTGTAAATTCTACTGCATTACTAAACACTAATAAAGAGCAATTATTTTTTAAAAAATATATCATTTTCAAAGTAATAATCGAACGATTGTGTTAAATAGAGAACGGCTTTTTTAGGTATTGACGTGAAAAGTGTAAAAATATATTTTTTCAAAGTTTGTTTATGTTAGTAAAAAACATAAAAAAATGGTTATTTTTTAACATTTAAATCTTGCTCATATTGTTCACATTTTTCGACTTTCGTACATTTATGCTGACAAACAGCATTTAACGCATTTATCATGTTTATTTTTGTATTTTGTACAGCTTTTTTTCATTTTAGGTTTTTAGAAAATTCAATATATGTTACTTCTTTTAATGGCGCATATTCAATGATTCTTAATTTTAAATAACTAATTTTAATAAGTGAGCATCCTTTGTCAATAAAAAATGAAAGGTATTACAAAATTTTGTGCTTTTAATTGAATATGACTTCATTCGTAAATAGTTTCGATTTTTCGTAACCCTTTTTGATTAAATATAGCACATTTATGCTTACTACTTTCTGTATGTGAGTATTAAAAATATATATTATGTTTTTCTGAACTTTCAAATATAATCGATTTCTATTTTTATTATTTTCTAATCAAACACATATTTTTAAAATGTAAATATTTCCCTTAATTCTCTCTGGAATTTTCAATAAAGCTTATCAAACATATGCTTGAATCAATCTGAAATAACCGTCAAGATTATCGTCATTAGATAGTTGTCGCAATTGTTAAACACTTTAAAATTTCATTTGTCTTTTTTTTTTATTAAAATAAAATTTATCATACTTCGACTTTTATGAATTGGGTTTCAAACGTTGTTAATTCAAACAACTTCTTAAATACTTTTGATAATCACTACAGTGTATGTTTTTCACATTTACAAGGCCTTCATTTATAAAGTGTTTTACTCTGGCATTATTTACATGTGCTGCGACGATAAATTGACAGGAAAGAATTTATAAAAAAGATTTTGAATGCACACTACAATTAAAATTAATGTAAAGTAATAATAAATTAAACCACTAATAGGCCTATCTGTTTATAAAGTTTAAATAAAAAGATTTGCTCACTTAACTTATAACGGAATTGATGTCAAAGGAAGGTGATTAAGTACAAGGATAAGCTGATAAATAAAGCCCATTATGCCATGTAAACTTAATTAAAATTATCTTAACCAGCGTTTTTCTAAAAATTTACTTAGAATTTTGTTTGGATGTGTTTAGTTGACAAAAAACTATCAAGTTTAATCAAAATATTCTAATTTAAAAGATAGACAAATGATCTTGAATCTTACACACCCTCAACATTCGTAGCAAGTAAGTGGATGGTATAAATCTCTTTTTATTTTTGTTACTCCAAATTACCGCAGACTAATCGATAGTTTATAATTTGGATAGAAGTGGCTATAACTATTTTGCATTAACGCTAATGATGCGGTCAATGTATCCCACGTTTGGAAATACTGCTATGAGGTAACGGGCGACTCCCACTCCAGCAATTAAAGACAACATCCTCGTTTGGTGTATATATTTATATACATTTATATAATTGTATCTATTACGTATGCCATTCCGTCGCCATGGCAATGCGCATGCATAACTGTATTCTTTAAAATCAGTTTGTGCTGTTCCATTTTTCGAAGTTAATTTTCAAAATTAATTGCATAATCATTGTTCTACGCTTGCACAGGTTTGAATCTAACGGATTTTAAGCCTGATGAAGACCGAGAGTATGGTCGAAAACGTTTGTTTATTATTAAATTGATTACTACTGGACGTTAAAAGGTTTTGGAGTTTTAATTTATATATTTCCAGTACTCAAGTGAGAAGATTTTAGCTATAACTATATTTGAACATTCTATCTTTATACCTGACTCCTGTCTTGAAAAGCGTATATCTACATTAATACAACTGTCATTAATAAACAGCTTTAATTAATTAATGTAATATATTAGAATTAGCGTAAGCATTGAAATGTAAGTTTATTAATTTTCATTAAAATTTATACATTTTCATTATGTGGTATACATTTCTAGACTATATAGTCTATATACAATGGTGTCTCGTATAACGTACTTAATCCGTTCCAGATGCACGTCCGTTATACGAAACGCATTTTCTTATAGAAATACATGTTAAAACATAAAATTTGTTGCGCAGCATAAAATAACCGTACTGTACTGTAAAAAATGAAAATGGAGCAGTCACCAATTATGCCGGATTGTCAGATGTTGTGAAGAGGAGGTGGAGGAACACTTTCTTCACACATTCATACAGATACAGACTTTTTACACATTTGTGGCGTAGTAAACACTAGTATTGTGTTTTATTCCAAAGACACATGGCAAATTTTCCATCAAATCCCTTTATTAGTTGAGTTGAAAAGTGTAACCAAAAGTTGACTGAAGAGGGGCAAAGCCCGAAACGAGTACAAAACAATGTACCGTATCAACTTAACTAATAAAAGGATTTGATGGAAAATTTGCCATGTGTCTTTGGAATAAAACACAATACTAGTGTTTACTACGAACAAATATAAAACAGGACACGGGTTCAAAAAAAAATTTATTTACACATTGTAGCAGGTCTATTTTTATTGTATTTTTAATCAGAGACAGATTCAGGAGAGGCTACCGGAGCTTGCAGGGTCAACTCCTCTTGTTCCATCCTTTGTTATTTGGCAGCTGGCTTCCTGAAAAACATGTCCAAGGTGGTCTGTTTCTCTCACTTTTTCAACACCTTCGGAAATGACAAGCAAGGCTGTCATTGATCCTGTTGTCTTCAGCTCTGTTTGGATAATGAGTGTAAGTTAACTCCTGAACCTCTCCCCATTTCACAAGGAAGTTTTTGTCAACTTTCACTCCTTTTGATGATTTCTTGCATTGTTTCAATTGAAATCACCTTTCTGTTTTTATAGAAGCCATGATTTGCACAACACTTGAATAAATGTAAATACCCTGTACTGAGGTGATGTACGTAATAGACAAAGAAGCAAGCCAAATCTTAATTATGAAAGTAGCAGATTGTCATTGGCAACGGCAAAAGAGTGGAAACATCATACGCACTTATTTTCAGAAAGTCCGATGTTCGCCTCACGTAACTGCCGAACGGAAAGTCCGTTGTTCGCTGCCAGTCCGTTGCTCGCTGCCAGTCCGTTGCTCGAGGAGTACGTTATACGAGGCACCACTGTATATATTTTTTTTCAATCGTATACATATATAAAATTTTTTATGTAATAATATATAGTAACACCAAACTACGGTGTTTACTAAACTGTATTTTTCTGAACATAAATTATTACAAATTTGGCAATTTGTTTTAGAAATTGTTGGTTGTAAACCTGCTAATGAGGTATCAGCAAGTTTAAAAAACAGTAATATTGTGTAAAAGGTGTACAGGACAAAAATACGGAATGTTTTTTCTGATTATTTTTATTAAATTTGCAAAACCAGGTAATCGGTATAGTAAGTCTTATAATTAAAATAAGTCCTAATAGACATTTTACGTAATAAACTCTATGATAAGGACAAAAATATTATAATTTAAAACTCTTAAAAATCTTATTTCAACTCATGTCAATAACGAAGAATTATACTTTAGAGAATACGTTTTAAATAATATATCAATGTTCACAAAGTAAACATTTTCTATTAATTTATATTTATTGTAAATGTAATTTCTCGTCAGTAGTAAAACGCTTCTATTCCCACTTCCTCGGTGATTTACTTACAACTAAATTAAACACCAAAACACATGCTAAGCTTACTACAATTTAATTAACATTCAAACGCTTTCAGCCTATTCTAACAAGCGTTCCTCAGGAAATTATCGTTCTACAGATTCGATCTCTTCGTTTGTGGAACGATAATTTTCTGAGAATGGCTTATAAGAATAGGCTGAAAACGTTTGAATAATAATTGCAGTAAGCTCAGCATGTGTTCTGGTGTGTAAAAGTCTACATTCGTATACTATGTATGCTTGAATTAGGAATATGCAAATGTAATAAATGAAGGCTTTACCTAACACATTTTAACGTTAATTTATTGCTAATAAATTTATAAATGAATTAAGTATTGTGATACCTAACATTTTAAAATAAATCCTATATAACTTTTAAAGTTTATTTAATTATTATTTGACAGGAATTAGTCTAATATAAACTAATTTTATTCAACTGTTTGACTTATTTTTAGCATTTTGACGTTATTCAAGAATGAAAAATTACAACAGAACGATTCCAGTAGAACCTCTGTTTTTCGAAACAGTTTTCACTGCTGGTGCTGTGAGAAATTTCTTTTGCACTTACTGGCATTATTCCATTTACATATCCATCTTCTATATACTGGCCATCAAGATCCTTCAGCGTTACATGAAAGATCGACCTCCTTATAACTTCAATCGTGCGTTCACAATATGGAACGGGATTTTGGCTGTTTACAGTATTTGCAGCTCAATTCGGTTAATTCCAATTTTGTTCGAACAATTTAAACACTTTACTTTTTACGAAATACTTTGTAACAAGAGTATTGTAGATAACACATCACCGCTTCTGTTTTGGGCTACACTGTTTGCGTTTTCGAAAGTTTGGGAATTGGGAGATACAATAATGATAATACTTCATAAAAGAAAATTGATGTTTCTTCACTGTTATCATCATCCTACTATGTTGATTATGTCATGGTATGCTTCTTACAAACGATCGACCTATTTAATGATGATTGTCTACACTAATCTCTATGTACACTCATTGATGTATACCTATTTTACTGTAAAATGCATGAGTATTAAAATTTCTTCAACAATTGCCATGTTTATTACTGCAACTCAAGTTACTCAAATGTGGTTTGCATTATTGCTTACGTGTTGGATGTATTGGTTGCTTTTAAATGAACAACCGTGTGACACTTCTTTTGAGATTTTAAAATTTGTCTTTGTTGTAGCGCTGTCATATCTGTATCTGTTTACCCAATTGTTTTATAAATCTTATATTTGCAGATCTAAGGTATATGAAAAAAAAGATAAAACACAGTAGTACGTCGTTTCATGAATAATTGATTTATTCAAGAAATTATTAATATAATGCATAATAAATAATAATTGGTATTATGTATAGATAAATAATAGTGATACTTTTATCGCTTTTATTCTAATATAAATATTAAAAATTTACTACACAAATATCTTATACGAAAGTAGTCCCAGAAGTACCCGACCTAACAAAGAAAACACAAAAAATTTGGTAAAACATATCTTTATTTTTCAACATAGTCTCCTTTTACCTCGATACACTTTTTCCAGCAATGTTCAATAGCTTCGATCCCCTGTTTATAGTGAGAACTGTCGAGTTTCCCAAAATAGCCATCAACTTCAGACGCCACCTGTTCATTGTTGGCAAATCTTATATCACCAAGCCATTTTTTTAAGTCTAGAAAGAAAAAATAATTCGAGGGGGCTAAATCTGGCAAATAGAGTGCGTGAGGAAGCAATTTGAACCTTAACTCATTGATTTTGCCCATCGCAATAAAGGATGTGTAAACTGGTGCGTTGTCTTGATGAAACAACATTTTTTTTCACCAAATGTGGCCGTTTTCTCTTGATTTCATCACTCAAGTGCTGCAATAAGTTCACCTAATACTTGCCGTTGATTGTTTTTCCTGGGCGCATCCCAAAAAAACTGACGCCATGACCTTTCCAGCATATGAAACTGTTTTCGCCTTCTTTGGAGCTGATTTTTCCATTTCAGTCCATTGTTTCAACTGTTCTTTAGTCTCAGGTGTGAAGTTATGGACCCATGTTTCATCCATGGTTATGAATCGACGCAAAAACTCGGCTTTGTTGCTGCGAAACATTGCCAAAGACTCGATTGAAACATTCTCACGACGCTGTTTTTGTCCATTGTGAGCAAACGCGGCACCCATCTTGCGCACAGCTTTCTCTTGTCCAAATTTTCAGTTAAAATGCGATGTACAGCACTTTTTGAAATGCCTATCATGTCTGCTAGCTCTCGCACTTAAAGTCGACTGTCATCCAATATCATTTTGTGGATTTTTTCCACTATTTCTGGCATGGTCACCTCACATGGTCGACCACTACGATGTTCGTCTTGGCAGCTCGTACGGCCTCGTTTAAACTCTGCCACCCAATATTTTATTGTTGTAAACGAGGGAGCAGATTTCCCCAGAGTAGAATCTAGCTCAGCTTTAATATTGGTTGGACTGAAACCTTTCAAATGAAAGTATTGTATCACATAACGATGACAAATTTTTCCATGTTTACAAATTCACTTAGATTGTTCAGTATTTATGGCTGCCAAAAAATACTATACAACGTAACGTCTTCAAACTTCAAACTTAAGCTTTATAAGGTTGATACTTTCGAACACAGTCGTTTTTTTTCAAACAAGCACCGCCATCTATGTTAGGTAGGGTACTTCTGGGACGACCCTCGTACTCTTAATGTTTAATAATTATATTGTATTGTTATTTTATCAAACTTTTTAAATATTTGTTACTGGCTTTTTTACACTTTTACTTTTATATATTATGTTTTTGTGTATCTGAATTACACCGTTAATTGGGAATGGAAATCTTGTATTATATACATACATTTACANTAATAATCATAACTTAATGTTTTAAAGGTAATTTAAATAATTAAATGTATTATATTGATAATACAATATATACAAATTACTAATTTCGTTATATTACAAAAACTTTGAATTAATTCAATATTTATATATTTTTATTTATATAATAATAAAAATATATGTTACGTGTTATTTCGTGTTTGCGTGCATTATTTCCTTCTTGGCAAAACAAGAATTACAAGAAATACTGTCAACCTTGAAGATAAACAATTAAAAGAATACGACGTAGAATTCTGTTTGAAAAAATATACATATTTATAAATATTAAAATAATGTTTACCGTATTTAATTATATAATTAAATATGTGTTCAAAAAATTAAATATTGGTAACAAAACTAACGAAGATGAAAACATTTTCGAACTCATCAGCTGGATTTCAGAATTAATTCATTCTCAATTTCTGGAATATTTGATACATTTTAATATTTATTAGAAGTAAAGTTGAAAATACATTAAAACTAGTTTAAGAAAAACTGCTGACAAGTGAAAAGACGACAGATTTAAATTTTTTTCTATAATAACTCTTGTAAACAAGTAAACATTAAAACAAGTTTTGTCATACGTTTGCTGCTTGTGTGTTTTTCTAGAGTAGTAAAAAAGAAAGNATTTCTGGAATATTTGATACATTTTAATATTTATTAGAAGTAAAGTTGAAAATACATTAAAACTAGTTTAAGAAAAACTGCTGACAAGTGAAAAGACGACAGATTTAAATTTTTTTCTATAATAACTCTTGTAAACAAGTAAACAATTAAACAAGTTTTGTCATACGTTTGCTGCTTGTGTGTTTTTCTAGAGTAGTAAAAAAGAAAGATTTATAACATTTTAATGCGTATTTTATAAAAAGTTTGTTGAATTTACTTTATTATTATAGAAAGCAGGATATAAAGATTTTATTTTAATTGGAATGTTTGAAATTTAAACAGATAGTATTGTGAAAAAGTATCATTGGCACTCATCCAATTTTACATATACTCATCACAGATGCTGATTGGTAACAAATGAATAAATATCGAATATTAAACACAATTTTACGCATTTTGTTTTCACCTTGGTTTGGTAAGTATCGGGCAAATTATTATTTACTATCTAGTAAACCAAGTTAGATTTTGAGTATTATATAATAGAAATTCTCAGATTATTTTCTTCAAATTTTCATTAATATTTTACCTTCAGTTTATAATTTTTAAATTGTAATTCACTTACCTAATGAATAAAATTTTTCCGTGTTTTGGACAGAACTCGTCGTGTGAAAATCCAGTCTTCACGAACTATTTTTCATTGAGTAATAATAAGTAAGACTTTTGTGCAGCACTTTATTTGGTAAGTATTATATAAATCAATTTTAACGAGTAATTTTATTTGTTAGTAACTAAATTTACTTTAATAATTACGATTTCATGATTTGATATTTGTTAATATTATAAATACAAAGAAGAAAATTTCCAGCATTTACCTGTAAATTCTACTGCATTACTAAACACTAATAAAGAGCAATTATTTTTTAAAAAATATATCATTTTCAAAGTAATAATCGAACGATTGTGTTAAATAGAGAACGGCTTTTTTAGGTATTGACGTGAAAAGTGTAAAAAAATATTTTTTCAAAGTTTGTTTATGTTAGTAAAAAACATAAAAAAATGGTTATTTTTTAACATTTAAATCTTGCTCATATTGTTCACATTTTTCGACTTTCGTACATTTATGCTGACAAACAGCATTTAACGCATTTATCATGTTTATTTTTGTATTTTGTACAGCTTTTTTTCATTTTAGGTTTTTAGAAAATTCAATATATGTTAATTCTTTTAATGGCGCATATTCAATGATTCTTAATTTTAAATAACTAATTTTAATAAGTGAGCATCCTTTGTCAATAAAAAATGAAAGGTATTACAAAATTTTGTGCTTTTAATTGAATATGACTTCATTCGTAAATAGTTTCGATTTTTCGTAACCCTTTTTGATTAAATATAGCACATTTATGCTTACTACTTTCTGTATGTGAGTATTAAAAATATATATTATGTTTTTCTGAACTTTCAAATATAATCGATTTCTATTTTTATTATTTTCTAATCAAACACATATTTTTAAAATGTAAATATTTCCCTTAATTTTTTCTATCTGGAATTTTCAATAAAGCTTATCAAACATATGCTTGAATCAATCTGAAATAACCGTCAAGATTATCGTCATTAGATAGTTGTCGCAATTGTTAAACACTTTAAAATTTCATTTGTCTTTTTTTTTTATTAAAATAAAATTTATCATACTTCGACTTTTATGAATTGGGTTTCAAACGTTGTTAATTCAAACAACTTCTTAAATACTTCTGATAATCACTACAGTGTATGTTTTTCACATTTACAAGGCCTTCATTTATAAAGTGTTTTACTCTGGCATTATTTACATGTGCTGCGACGATAAATTGACAGGAAAGAATTTATAAAAAAGATTTTGAATGCACACTACAATTAAAATTAATGTAAAGTAATAATAAATTAAACCACTAATAGGCCTATCTGTTTATAAAGTTTAAATAAAAAGATTTGCTCACTTAACTTATAACGGAATTGATGTCAAAGGAAGGTGATTAAGTACAAGGATAAGCTGATAAATAAAGCCCATTATGCCATGTAAACTTAATTAAAATTATCTTAACCAGCGTTTTTCTAAAAATTTACTTAGAATTTTGTTTGGTTGTGTTTAGTTGACAAAAAACTATCAAGTTTAATCAAAATATTCTAATTTAAAAGATAGACAAATGATCTTGAATCTTACACACCCTCAACATTCGTAGCAAGTAAGTGGATGGTATAAATCTCTTTTTATTTTTGTTACTCCAAATTACCGCAGACTAATCGATAGTTTATAATTTGGATAGAAGTGGCTATAACTATTTTGCATTAACGCTAATGATGCGGTCAATGTATCCCACGTTTGGAAATACTGCTATGAGGTAACGGGCGACTCCCACTCCAGCAATTAAAGACAACATCCTCGTTTGGTGTATATATTTATATACATTTATATAATTGTATCTATTACGTATGCCATTCCGTCGCCATGACAATGCGCATGCATAACTGTATTCTTTAAAATCAGTTTGTGCTGTTCCATTTTTCGAAGTTAATTTTCAAAATTAATTGCATAATCATTGTTCTACGCTTGCACAGGTTTGAATCTAACGGATTTTAAGCCTGATGAAGACCGAGAGTATGGTCGAAAACGTTTGTTTATTATTAAATTGATTACTACTGGACGTTAAAAGGTTTTGGAGTTTTAATTTATATATTTCCAGTACTCAAGTGAGAAGATTTTAGCTATAACTATATTTGAACATTCTATCTTTATACCTGACTCCTGTCTTGAAAAGCGT